AAGCTCACTCCCATTCTTTCAGGTTCCAGGGAGAGCGTTTGGCTCAGAGGGTACGTTTGTTGCAGTAATGCTATACCCGCGGGCATCCAGCGAGCGAGAGGAGAGAGAGAGAGGGGGGGGGAGTATAGCTAACCGAACCCGGCTGCGGTGAAGGCAGTGAGGTGCCGGGCAGCATCCGTAAGACCACAGGAATGCCTGGACCAAAATCTCCATCCCTGCAAAACCCACCGCCGCGGCGTGCCCTGGGCTGGGGCCTCCAGCCAACAGCGACTGAGGACAGCCCAGCCACACATGTGTGGAAGGGGGGCAATAACTCCCTTTTGATGTGCACACACGATTCCTTAATTCCTTGATTCCCAGTGATTCCCATCCTCTTATATTTATTCCTCTCTAGTTGTAGAAAACGCTTGTACTTCGAATAATTTGTGTACCAGTTCCAGTAGTTTCCGTGTTAGTTTAAGCGATTTCTGTTGATGTCGATTAATTTTTTATCCTGATGATTCTCAGGCAGGTGTACTCATGATTCCCGGAGTTGTTGCCCCTGGCGGAAGGTATATTCGCGAACCAGCAGGGTGGGCACAGGCCGGAGGAGACGGGCGGCTGGGCGCGATGGATTGGTAGGTCACGTGGGAAGGGACGCTGCGGTTCACCGTTCGAAACCCGATACCCTCCGGGCTGAAAGAGATGGCTCCTCCAGATTACTGCGTTCTACTACTGCCAATAGCCGGAGTGCAGCACCGCGGGGTGGCTCAGCAGCCGAGCGCTTTCAGAAGAGACGCGACAGAAACACGACGCTCCTTCGCGGATTCCTTTTCAGAACGTTTGTCTGGGTTCTTCTAAGGTGTTTCCTTTGGAGGAGTCGAGGGACCTGGTGGTTCCTGCACTGATGTTGGGGGTGATTATAGAAAAACGTCACTTTCAGGTAATAGTCACTCCAAAATGTTCATTTTTAACCTTTTCAAAGTTCTATGTTTCGTCTTCGAGATGGGTTTTGGGGGTTTGGATACTGTCAATTGGCACCCAAAAGTTACATTTTTAAAGTTACACGATGGTGTGACCATGAATTAAGGGTTTAGAGGCACCGCAGTTTATTTTTGAAAAAACTCTGAAGACGGCCCCCAGAGCAAAACTCGCTCTGCTACACTTAACTCTATTAGCTCTGTGGGCCGACAACTTAGAAAATCAGCCCAATGTGTAGAAGTACCTATCTGGGCGGGCCTGTCTAAATCTATTTTGTTTGCAAATGTCCATTTGATGAAGGATGCTCGTCGGTCCTTCTTGGTTCTGTCCAGCCAACTTGAATATTGATTCTTCTTTCAGAGAATGGTAATATCACCGAAGATAATAATAACCCCTTAACAAGAATACATATTTACCATTTTTTTGGAAGAACATGCCAAATAAAACATAGTTGTACGTTGTACAACACATACAGTGATGAATGACGGGCATCCTTAGCCGTATAATGCAGCCTGGGGCTGACAGTGCTGCCGCTTCCTCTTGTCCGAGAGTGCATGTTCATGTCTGCACTACCGAGCGGAGCTGCTGGAGCTGCCGAGCGGGCATTCGGGGAACGTCGGCGGAGAACGGACGCCTGTCGAATCTCGCCGCCGCTGTTGCCTCCGCCCCCCGGAATATAAGGCTAATCTGTTTTCCATTCCGAAACCGGAGACGCAGCATCGCTTTTGTGCGGCGCAAGCTTTTGCACACAAATAACACACACGGCGACACACAGGGCGCGCGCGCCTCCTCCCATTCGGGCAGAAAACATTTGTTGAAAAGGGGGGCGGCGCACAGAGAAGCTTGTTGTGGCGTAGCTCAGGAGCGAGCAGCACACCTCCATCACATCACAAGAGCACCGTGAAACAACAAAAAATAACATTATCATCGGGTCGGACAGCAGGGCAGCTGCTGGCACGTCAAAGTGTTCCCGGGACGACGTCCTGCGGCGTGTTCACGTCCTGTCAAGCCACCTTTGAAGACCGCGCGCCTCTACCGCGCGCTCGTCAAAGCGAGTCGCCCCACAAAGGACATTCAAATTAGCCGAGGCACCTCGGGGGCTGACCCGGGACGGCTGCCCCGCGCGCCTGACCGCCGGTCAGCGTCAGTCAGACACACCCCCACCACACACGGGGACCACCCGCCGTCACAATTATGAGACTCGAATGAGACTCGCGCTTCCGACCATCGTTCCTGTCAGTAGCAGTATCGGCCGGTGTGATCGGGGCACACCTCCCCTCCTGGGCCTGTCAGTCGGGCCCGGCGCGTCAGCCGCACCGCCGCCGATCCGCAGCTAACCGCGCGTGACGCAAGTGAAGTGATCTTACATAAAGCTGCTGAACAAACAGGCAGGAGAGGGACGACGTACGGTGGGCATGATGAAGCACGTCGTGCTGCGATATTTGCAGTAAGCTTGTGCAACGGGCTTGTTCTGAACAGTGTATCAGTAGGAACAAAACGTTGTCACTGACCCTAACTGCTCCATCACAATCCAAATTTGAAGAGTATACACCACGTTACCAGAGCAACTGATGGAAATGTAACAGTTAGACTAGAAATCTAAATGTACAGATGTCGCACATGTGGGGATGTGTTAATAACCAGAGAAACACTTTATGACGGATAAAAATGGGTACCTCTTCAAGTGTACGAATCTCTATTCGCTCACAAACAAATGTGTGAATATTTTGTCACTCACCTGCAGATGCGTAATATGTGGTCACACACCTTCAGGTGTTTGTTTTTTATCCACTCAGATGCAGGTGAGCGACATTTGCACACTTCACTTGCCAGAGTCTAATTATATATTTTCCGCAAACATTTTTTTAAAATTATTTTTGTTGACGACTTGCCACGAGTTATAAAAATACGAACCAGTTTGGATCAATTTTTGGAGAGTTTTGCTTTATTTTTCGCAAATTTAGCGCTATTTTCGGCAAATCTAGAGCGAGTTTTCGCGAGTTTTACGCGAATTGGGCGCGGGCAAGTGTACAACGAGTTGGCTAGTGGTGGACCCCTCGGCCAAACATGATGCCTTCGGCTAAGAATTTTGGAGCATATTTATCAGGCGCAAAATGTTTGTCTTTTAATTTTTTTCACGACAAACAACCAATCCTTAGCAGACTCGGGGGGGCTGTCATGTCTTCAGAGAGCCGCAGCGCGCGCGGTCGTGATGCACCAGGGCGTCGGACACACACCTTCCACGGCGATAAGGAGACCCCGGCCGCTCGTTGTAGCTGTCACATGTAAATGCCGGCGCGCCGGCGCGCTAGACGCCCGCCTCGGCGGGACGCTCCGCTGACAGCCCGGCCGGCTAATGTGTGGTTGATGGGGACCGGCGGGGACGACAGGGGTTGCGGACGGCTAATCCCCCCTCCCGGCGGCACTCGACGGGCGGCTTTGCCACCGTAAAATGAGAGGCAACATTGTGCAGCTTCCCGGTAATCAGGTGCCAATCACGCACAAAAGGTAAACACACACACACACACACACACTCATACGCACACACACACGTGTACGCTTTGCTCGCTGACACGGGAGCGCAGGAGGGCAGGGGGGGACTCCTTTGTGGCGATGTGTTTGTTGAGGAGGCGGCCGACGTGAAAAAGGGCAATCCCACGGCCGAGATGACAGGCTGTATCAAGTTCTACTCGGGGTGGCAGGCGAGCAGCAGCAGCAAGCAGCGGGCAGCCGCGCCGCTCTAGGCAAAGGAGAGGCGGGCTTCCGTCAGAGCGAGCTGATAATCCTGTGGCCTGTCTGAAAGGCTGGGGGGCGGGGTGGGACAAAAACGTAAAAATAAATAAAAGGTGTTTATTTGCACGTGTCTTGGACCGGCAGAGATAGTGTATCGCGGATTACGGGGACGCGGCGGCGGGGCTGGGCGGCGGGGTGATCTCTCACGGGTCTGCGAGCAGGGAGCTGATGGAGTTTCATCAGGCGAACTGACAGGTCGCAGAGGCAGCCGGTGAAAGTAGTAGCCCCTCCCGTAGGATCGAGCCGATAACGAAGTGTCCCTCATATACGAGGCCGAGTATAACGCATTCACCCGCGTGCTGCTCAGTCAGTTCAGTCGGTCTCTGGGCGATGATGATGATGATCTACGTCGTCCGATCGATCTATCGTCATAGGGAGGGACTGAGCGAGCGCGACCGAGAGTCCGCCAGAGGAACGAAAAATCGTTGGCAACATTCGCCGCCGCAAGCAGCTGATTACCTCCCCCGCCCTTCCCTGCCCCCCGCGCGCTGTCACCGCGGCACCCAGGCCTGCCACACGTCAGTATGAATTATCATCCCAAGTAGCGCCTGATATGTTGGCAGACATGCCCCGGGCAACGCCGCGGGACGGAGCGGTGGAGTGGCAGCCCTGACCGGCCCGGCGAAATGATCAAGATGGCGGCCCTGTCGACCCGGAAAGACATTGATGGATGGCCGTACACTCGAAACAAAATGCTGAGTGTGGAGAGAGAGAGAGGGAGGGGGCGAGAGCGAGTGAGAGACAGAGAGAGAGAGAGGGAAAGAGAGAGAGAGATGGGCGTAGCGGTGTAGCGCGGTAGTGGCTCGCGCATTACAAGCCCGAGGAACGAGCCCCCGTCGCTGTCAGGAAAAAGACGTACTGTTGGTCCTGCTGTTGGCTCTTTGCATCCGTCTGGCTCGCTCCTCGGCGCAGCGATCGCTTGCACACCCGAAACAGCATCGGCTCGCCGAGGGCCGAGCTGATATATCTCCAGCGGCCGGCGCGACATACCGCAGGGCCCCCGGGCCTTTGGCTGCCTTTGGCGGTCTTTGGCGGCGGCCGACGACGGTCCAGGCCCGCTCAGGCGCAGCCTCCACCCAGACGCGAAACACATTTATATTCTCGGCGATATTTGTTTTGCGGGGCTACGCCGCCGGGCTCCGCGCCCTTTGTTGTCGTCCCCACACGACGACGTCGCCCGGGAGCCGGACTGCGTGCCGCGCCTCACTTTCAAATGTTTCGGCGGCAGGAAACAATGGGGGGAGAGATAAGATCATAAGTTTAATTGTCCATTGAGGTTGACACGAAGAAAGAAGAAGTCCCCCCCTTTGCTTCTCTGCCTCACGTCTCTGCCGCCGCTGCTGAAGGTCGTCGCCGACGTCGGCAAGCGGCGACGGCGGCTGCTCCAGCACCGCCACTTCCGTCGGCCCCGCCAGCGTCGTCCGTCTCGATCTCGATGTGCAACAGAGTCTGTCCATCTGTCTGGCGGAACAGCCGAAGAGCTATCGCGCCGCGCGCCGCCGGGCTGTCCGCCGGGCTGTCCGCCGGGCTGTCCGCCGGGCTGTCCGCCGGGCTGTCCGTCTTGTGCCTGGGCGTGATGGGCGGTGGGCTAGCTGGGCGTGACGCAGGCACCGCACACAGCAACAAACATAGCGCAGGCTGGAACAGAGGGATCGCATCAAGAACGACGTTGAGTTATGTCCCAACGTAGAATGGTGGATGCGAGTGTAAGGTTAAGCCGTTGATTTTATGTAGACATTTTATGATAGCATACGATAGGCGACTATAATTTTAATCTTGAGTAATTTTACCATCCGTCAGCAGATGACTGACAGGCTGACTGGCTATCTGGAATGACAGACAGACTGGACGACACTCGGTAATTTGACAAGTGCCCGTCCGGTGGGCGCTCGCCCTCTTTACCGCCCGCGGGCGATCAGCAGCAGCAGCTCTGAAACGGATTAATCTGACGAGGATACCCGTCGTCGTACACGTCTCCCTTCTTCTTAACGAGGTATGGGGCCACCGTGTCAGCTCACCGCGCGTGACTCCGCCGCCGCCGCGGCCGCCACGCCGTGCCAGCGGGAGTGGCGTGCCCCGCCCCGCCCGCCCCCGACTCTCCGTGCACCACAAGACCGCTCTCTTCCTCTCTCCACGTGTGCGCTGTGCCCGGCCTTCTGCTCCGGGCTCTGGGCGCACCACGACACTCTTGTGGACATACAGGTGCGTGATGATCTCTCGGACTGCGTCCTCACTCTTACTTGGTGTGATGGCAGGCGTCATCGGAGTGCTCCGCCAGCCCGACGACGGCGCGCCCCGACCCGCCCTGATTCTCCGTGCACAGGGCCGCCTTCTTCCTCTCTGTAAGTGCGCTGTTCTGGGCCTGCGGCCTGGGAGCCCAACGACACCCTGGTGCTCGATTGCGCGAGGCGGCCTTCCACCCTCGGCCTCACCGTAAGGCGTGTGCAGAGCCTATGGCTTAGTCACTAAGGGATTGTCCATAGCAGGAAGTACATTCGGTGCACGTGCTGCACGCCTGCGAGACGTGGGTAGGCCACTCCGCCGTACACGCATGCACTTCAGGCAAGATGTTGCCTACCTACCAGACGCTTTAAGAGCTAGCACGGGCTAAAATTGAGAGGGAAGTAACGGCGAATGGTAGACGTATTATCTGGGAGGGACACTTTCAGTACTAACCTTCGGATAAATCAATGCCACTGCACATTTTGTCTGTGGCCTCGGACTCTCAGCGTCGTCACCCACGCAACACTCACTCACGCTCACAACATGAGAGAAGGGCGCCCTGGAGTCCCAGCTTTTTCCCCACGAGAAGCCGCTTGACACACTTTGGCAACGTCCTGACGCCGCTGCATTGGTCGTAGAGCATTTTGAAGGAGCGCGTCGGATTCAGCACGTTTAGACGAAGAGGAAGATGTGCTGTATGATACTGTTTGAAAACCTGGGAGCCGGCCTGAGCACTTGAAACCTACTTGGCTGGCGGCTGGCCGGCGGGCCCCCCACTCCCACTCACCTGCCGACTGCGGGCAGCGCGCCCGTCCGTGCGCGCAGGCGAGGGGAGGAGAGGGGGAGCCAGCC